CAGGCGTAATTCCTGAGCGCAGAGCCAGGAGTCACCCTGATCGTGGCTGGGTGTGACCTGAAACGAAAAAAAAAAAAAGAACCGCGATGATCCCCACGTGCTCACATAACTCGAGTAAGGCTTGTGTTTTTTTTTTTTTTAAACATAATTATTATTTTAAAAAAATCATCTTAACACAAATAGAGCTGCAGTCACAAAAGGTTTGTTTTTATTTCAGGAAAAAAATGAGTGGAGGCTTGTTCTTTCTCAAGTCTGAAACACCCGGGAAAGAAATGGCTGAGTGATCTCGGGTCTGGCTTACCCATCCTTACGTTTTCGGGGTCTCCCTGGCCGTGCTCGGGGGTCTCTGGGCCCTGCTCCCTGCAGACTCAGCGCTGTGCTCAGCCCCTGGAGTCCCTCCCGAGACCCACATTTCTGTCCGGTGGTTCCCGGGCGTGCAGTCCCTGGAGATGAACCTTCTTGGGCCCTGCTGCTGGGGACCAGCCTGTCAGGGCTTGGGGGGCTTCTTCCCCTGACAGTCATGGTTTCCCGCCCATCCTTGTGGCAACAGCCGGCCCCTCCCCCCGCCCCCGCTTGCTTGTACGGGCAGCCCCCTGCATGACTGACCTACAGACCGGAGTGTGTGAGTGCATGTGTGGGTGCGGGTGTGTGTGTGTGTGAGAGAGAGAGATAGAGGGGAGATGTGGGGTAGCGTTTGGAGGGATGGTCACAGGCGGTCATGGTGACCTTTGTGGGTGCGTGTTTCACGGCTCTCCTGCATTCTGAGGGTGACCTGCGGGGGCTGGGAGGGGGTGGGCTATGACACGTTAGAACCCGGCGGACACTTCCCAGATGATGATGGGGTCAGTGTATCTCTGGTGGTGGGTCAGTGTGTCACTGATGGTGGGTCAGTGTGTCACTGGTGGTGGGTAGGTGTACCATTGATGGTGGGTCAGTGTGTCACTGATGGTGGGTCAGTGTGTCACTGATGGTGGGTCAGTGTGTCACTGGTGGTGGGTAGGTGTACCATTGATGGTGGGTCAGTGTGTCACTGGTGGTGGGTAGGTGTACCATTGATGGTGGGTCAGTGTGTCACTGGTGGTGAGTGCCAGTGGAGCTTTTTTCCATGTGCTAGCTGGCATCAGCTTGCTTTTGGAGAAGTGTCTGTTGGGGGCTCTTTCTGCTTTCACTGTTCTTGTTTTGAGCCGCACCCTCCATCAGTGCTCAGGGCTTACTCGTGGCCCTGTGCTCCGGGGTCTGGTGCGCTGCTGCCTGTACTGACTCTCCGACGCCGTCTTCTTGCCTTTCAGTCCGAGCTGTCTTTTCTCCCCCTTTCCCTCTTTTGGCTTGTCCTCATTGCGTTATCTTGTGGTTGTTGACACCTTTCCTTATTTAATTACACGGCAAATAGATATAAAATGTCAGGTGCGGTGGCACCTGTGGTCCGTGCCCTGCCGTGGCGCGGTCTGCGTGCCACATGAACGCGGCGCCTGCTGTGTAGGGGCAGGACGGCGTCGGGAGGGCAGTACCAGAGAGGCGGCCGTGTCCGCAGAGACGACTTCGGACGGAGCCTGGAGGAGGGCTGCCTGAGGAAGGCGGCAGGCAGTAACCGTGAGCATCCAGCTCGCAGGGGCGCTGGGTACGAGGGTCGGGGGGGGGCTGGGCCCACAGACCCTGAGTTTTCTGCAGCCGCGTGGAGCGGCCAGGGCTGACATTTCCAGAGCTGAAAGAGAAACGCTGTGAACAAAGGCAGGAAGGGCAGCCGGGCCCAGATGTTGGTTTTGGCTGCGAAGCCCCTGACCAGTATTTTCTCAGGGACTGCGAATCCCTCGGAGCGTGGGGTCAGACAGGGTTGACTTGGGGGGTACGGAGGTGGGGAGGCTGGGGGTGTGGGAGTCACTCACCGATCCTTGTCCCCGTCCGTGGAGACTTCTGCCAAGCTCCCCACACGCCTCCTGGGGTGACATCCTGGCTGGGGGGGGGCGTGTCCCTGCTTCCGTGATAAGGGGGACAAGGGACAGTGCAGAGAAAGGGGCCCCAGGAAGCTGCCACCACCCTGCTCCCCGCATTCCTGCCTCTGTGTGTGTGTCATTGTGAGAATGTGCGTGTGAGACTGTGTGTGAGTGTGAGAGAGTGTAAGAGACTGTGAGTGTGTGAGAGACTGAGTGTGAGAGTGTGTGACTGTGAATGTGAGTGTGTGAGATGGTGTGAGTGAGACTGACAGAATGTGTGAGAGATTGTGTATGTATGAGGGTGAGCATGTGCGAGAGACTTTGTGTGAGTGTGAGGGTGTGAGAGACTGAGTGTGAGTGAAAGTGTGAGAGTGTGAGAGATTGTGTGAATGTCTGTGAGAGACTGTGTGAGAGACTGAGTGTGACAGTGAGTGTGTGAGAGACTGAGTGTGTGAGTGTGAGAGTGTATGACTGAATGTAAGAGTGTGAGAGTGAGAGACTGATAGAATGTGTGAGAGACTGTATGAGAGTGAGAGTGTGTGAGAGTGTGTGACTGTGAATGTGAGTGTGTGAAATTGTGTGAGTGAGAGACTGACAGAATGTGTGAGAGACTGTGTGAGTGTGAGTGTGTGTGAGAGACTGTGTGTGTATGTGTGTGTGTCCCCGTAGGCAGTCACGTGCCCTGGAGACGGTCCACATTTGGGGCCTCAGTTTCATCATTGTCAAATGAGGGAATCTGCACATGAGCGTTTTCTGGCCCGAGTCTGTCATCTCCGGGGGGACCCGTAGGGTTGTCTGCAGCCTTTGGTTCCCTCTGAGAGACCAGAACTGCCCAGCCCGGAGGCCCCCAGTTTCCAGACCCTCCCTCCCGCTCCCTCCCCTCCCCACTCCCGCTCCCTTCCCTCACCTCTCCCCCCTGCTCTCTCCTTTCTCCTGCCCTCTTCCTCCCCCTCTCCTCCCCCCTCCCTTGCTCCTTGTCCCTCCCCCTGCCTGGGATCGAACCCAGAACTCCCGGCCCAGGCTGTGCGCTCTGCCTGGCCCGTCCCCCGCCGCCTTGGGCTTCCTTCCTTCTTTCCATGTGGCACCTCAGAGGACTGGGCGGTGGAGTCAGGCAAGCTGGACGAGCTCGAATGGCAAACAGGTACCGGGGCCCGGGCCAAGGTTGGGGAGCAGCAGGGGCGCCCCAGGAGTTTTCCCTTGGAACAGCTCGCGGACGCGGAGAGCGATGGCATGGAGTTACAGGGCGCCCCGGGCCCGGGGGTCCTGGCCGCAGCCCGCGCTCCTGCCGGGCAGGTGGTCCTGTGTCATTCGGTGGCGTTTGCTTTGCGGGCCTGGAGATGTCGGGGAGCGGACACCTGCCCCCCCACGCGCACCCGCCCCGCAGAACGGCAGAGGGCATCTTTGGGGCGTCTGTTTCCCCTCACCGCGGGCTGAATTTTCACACCGCTCCTTGTTTGTTTAAACCAGGACCGGCTGACGTGGGCCCGAGGCCACCCTGGTCGGTCGTGTGGGGTTTCCAGGGGAGCAGCAAGCTCAGGGCCTGGCTTTGGGGCATTTCCTTTAAAATGGAAAGTTCCAGTTTGCTCTGGGGCCAGGACCTGTCCGAGAAGTGTGGGCCGGAGGTGCTTTCTGGGTCACTGTATGTTTGCGAGTGTATACCTTGTCCCCACACTGGCAGCAGTCCTGCTTTTCCTGGGAATCAGTCCTGGCATGATCCTCTTTGGGGTGTGTGTGTGTGTGTGTGTGTGTTACTGTGAGTAGCACTTGTGGGGTGATCTGAAAATTAGGGATCCACAGATCCCACGGGAATCCCAACCTCAGGTATGGAGGACTTGAGCCTTCTGGTACCTTCTCGTACCTTCTGGTGCCTTCTAGTGCGGCCAAGTGAGGCCCATGGGGCAGATGTAGACTCTGAGAACCATCATCCAACCCAAGGGTGATGCGGGTGGAAAGCCACCACGTGCCTCTGAAAGCTTGAGGTTCTCCGTACAGGGCTGAAGAGGGGGTGCAGAGGCCGGGGCACTTGCGATGCATACAGCAGGCCTGGGTTCGATCCCTGGCACCGCCAGCAGCAAGCCCTGACCCTCAGCAAACAAAACCACTGTATTTACACACTTTGGAAGGGACAGGGCCTGACGCTAATGGTCCTGGGTCATGCTTGCTGGAATTCCCAAGGGGACACAGACGCCTTGAAACAGGAGTGACGTGCCACGAGCCAGTCAGACCCCCTGGGAGCCCTGATGGGAAGGGGTGTGAGAGCTTCTTTGAACACTGGAGGCTGATACTCAGACTCAGACTCGGAGCTCCTCATTCTAACCTCCTTGCGCTTCTTTTACAAATAAGCAGCATGTGGGACTGAAACTCGGTGTCGTGAAACCCTCACGTGAAATCCCGGCGTCAAAAATAAAAATAAAAAAAAGGAGTAATAGCTGACTCAGCAACGGTCAAACTGTCCCAAGCAGAGAAGCGGCTCTGAGTGGCCCGTGGGCCGGAGAGGCCCCTGGTGTGGGTCCGGTGTATTGCTTTTTGTTTTGTTACTGTTTGCGCAGGGGTTGGGGGGCACAGGTGCCCGGGCACCTGAGGCAAACGGGAGCAGCCCTGACCTTCCGCTTCACGAGTATGTCGGTGAGAGGCACCCCAAGATGGGTTCTGGTCTGGCCCTTTTCTTGCACAGGGTCCCGGTTGCACGCGAATTCTGAACTCTGCCCCACAGTTACTGAAGACGTGGTGACTCTGACGTCAGATGGGGGGGGGGACTTGGCTACCTGGCGCCGGGGTCCGGGTGCTGGTCTGTCACCAGAGGCGTCACATCCACACGGGTTCCTGCTCACGCGCTCAGATCACTGCATGTCCCTTACGTCTGCGGGGCGCTGGGGGAGAGGGAGGCCAGGCCAGAGCGTGTTTATGGAAAACGCCTCACGCCTGGCAGCGGCGGCCCTGGGCCCGGGAGCCGGCTGCCAGAAACTTTCCACTGGGAGCAGGCCTGCAGGGGCGGGGGGGGGGTACTGGGGGCCGAGCCGGGGGGCCCGGCCTGGGTGGTGACCGTGTCCTCTTGCGCGATCTGTGTAGGTGAAGCCGCTCTCCGGGGAGAACCCAGGATGCAGACGCTGCCCGTGACCTCCGCCCTGACCAGCCACCGCACTGGCCCCCCGCCCATCAGCCCCAGCAAGCGGAAGTTCAGCGTGGACCTGGGGGTGGACGAGCTGGAGTGTGAGGGCGACCACGCCTCCAAGATGAGCCGCATCTTCAGCCCCCAGCTGTGAGTGGGGGTCTCGGGAGGGAGTGCAGGGTGGGCACGGCACAGCAGCCCAGCCAAGGTGGGGCCACGACCCCGACTTCTTCCCAGCGCCCTGGAGTGACCTTGGGGTGCTGACCCGGGGAGCCCCCCCACCCCACACTTACCAGGTGGGGTCCTGCTCATCTCCCTGGGGTGGGGTCCTGCCCATCTCCCCCCAGAGCTGCCCGGGGTGGGGTCCTGCCCATTTCCCCTCCTTCCCAGAAGGGGTGGTCAGTGCAGTCCCCAGGAAGCAGGGGCAGCGGCCACTCAGACGGACCGTTTCTCCCTTGTGTGTTCCGGGTGCCCAAGTGGAAGGACACTTCGGGGTTGGAGACCCAGTGGCACACCCACGACACAGCTGGGAGCTGTTCCTGGGTCTTGGCACCATCCCCCACATGTGAAGTGAAGGGGCGTGGCGAATGTTCTGGAACATTCTGCAAGGGTTCTGTTTGGCCGCAGCGCTGACAGTGTTCCGACCCCGCCTGCGGGCGCCCTCCCTCCCCCCGCACGCTCACCTGGCACAGACGCGCAGTGGGGGGGGGGGGCTGCACGACATGGGAGTCACCCCACCCCACCTGCCGCCCCCCACGATTCCCCCCGCAGCCCCCCAGGGAGTGCAGGCGCCGCCGGCAGCCTCAGCTGCCGGGATGGGCAGAGCGCCCGGCGCCGTGATTGGCCGAGGCAGAGGAGGGGCGGGGCTTTGTCCCGCGGTCCCCAGGTGGGTCCCAGGTGCGGGCGCGCGGGAAGGGGCCGGTCCCGCTGCAGCCCAGCCCGCAGGCCCGCGTGCCGCGCATTCCAGCCGCTCGGACTGGAGTGCTCAGTCATGAGACACGCTGACAGAGGTATGTCTCCTCCATAAATCACCGCGGCCTTACTCAGAGGCTGAGCCTGCAGTCTGCGGCCCTGGAATTTGCTGCTATCAGGAATGCGGCGTGAGGCTCTGCAGAAATAATGAGCTCTCGCAGGCAGGCAGGCAGGCAGGCAGGGAGGGGCCATCCCCGACCCCGCTCCCTCGGCTGCTCCGAGCGCATTCTTCAGTTCCTAGGAATTTCTTGTTTTCTCGCAGCCCTCCGCCCCAACCCAAACAAGACACATTTCTTTTTCTTTCTTTCTTTCTTTTTCTTTTTAACAGATTTTTGCTGCAGGATAGAGGAGGGCCAGGGAAGGCAGCCTTGAGATAGGAAGTTTTGTGCCTTGGTCCAAATCCTGATTCTGCCCGGGGTCCTTGGGACGGGCACGGAATGTATCTGACTCAATATTCTTATTTGTGAAAGGGTCAGGATAATCACTGATCTGAAACCTAGTGTAAGCGTTCCAACGAACACATGCAAGGAGGTTTGGGCATAGTACTGCCCGCGGTTGTTGATCGAGGTTCAGCCTTTTCCCAACCCTGGTAGCGATGGGGAAGGGGCCGACTGGTCAGGACGAACTGAGCTGCCGAGAGAAATGTGCGTTTGAGCTGGAATGGCGGGGTTCACGTTCGCTTGGTGTGTTGTTGCTTTCCACCCTCCTGAGAGGGGCAGGTGAGACCAATAAGAAGCCCCTTCCTCCTCACCTTCAGCTGGCAGTGAAGGCAGGTGGTTAGCGTGGCCCAAGCCTTTATTGATGGTATTCGGATGCGGGAGCTTTTAGGAAGTGCCTTTGTAACTCCAGGGAAGATACAGATCAGTCGAGGTCTGTGATGACATTCTCAAGTATGTGAAGTGTGAATAATAGTGGTAGCCTCCGGACGTCCTGTGCAGTTCACAATAGGCATAGATCCCGGGCTGTGTCCCCACCCTGTCTCCCCCCCGCCCAACACACACACACACACTCGGGATTTGTGGAGAAGAGGCAGTCGGGGTGCACTCAGAGTGGCACCAGGCCACAGGGGATGTCACTCATTCCAGTCCCGCCCCCAGAGGCTCTGCTTGGCTTCCAGGAGCTGGGGGACAGGCATTCAGGAAGCCGACACGTCGTCATCTCCCTTCCTGTGTCCGTCCTCCATCAGTGTCCTTCTGTGACGTGAGCGGCCCCACCTCTGAGCTGTGGTATCTCCCTTCCTCTCTATTTACTATGGGCAAAGACGTTCTCTGTAATAAATTACCGGCTCGTTTATTTGGAGAAGAACGCCCTAGTGTATTTATCTCTTGAAGGCGATTACGGAACGATTTTTTTTTTTTTTGCTCTTTATCTTCTTGGAACATGTGAATGTGTCAGGAAAATGTGGTTTGTTTACTTTATCGCTAAAGAAATCACAGTAACTCTGAGGAAGGAATATTGTTGAGAAACCATTTGACAGCCAGCTGAGAGGCTCAGGGAGCCGCGTTGCTTTGGCCGCGTGTCCTTATAACCGTCTTATGAAGATGTTTTTTTCGGTCAAGATGGAGAGTCTCTGAGCCAGAACAAGGAAGCTACAGAGAATCTGGCTAAATTTCTATGTGCTTTGGGAGGAGGAGGAGGAGGAGGAGGAGGAGGAGGAAGAGGAGGAGGAGGAGGAGGAGGAGGAGGAGAGAGAAGAAACATGTCCATCGGGGTTTCTCCAGGATTCGCAACTGTAGGGTTTCTGGCTCGGATTCTAGCCCCTTCCAACCTGTTAAATCTTTATTAATTTTCACGTTGACGTGGCGATCCTGAGAATTAGTTTTTCTTTTCCGCAGCAAGGCGATCCAAAGGGCCTCCCACACAGAAGGTGGAGTAAGACGCGAGGGGGGGCTGCAGGGGGTTGGCCTGGGGGGTTGTCGGTAGCAGACCTGAGCTCTCCTGCCCCATCTCTGCCTGCTGAGCTGTGGGCCCAGGGTCGGTAGCTCGCCCGCAGCCGCTCCTGCAGTGGCTCCTGTGTCCTCATTAACAGGTGCCTGTCTTATTTTCTGGCAACTCAAATGCTCCTCTTGTAACCTGCTTCTCCAGGGGACCTTCCTTCCTTTCAGTGGAGAGTTCCCCCCGCCCCAAACACACACACACACACACACACACACACACAGCCCACACTGCTAGATCGGAGCTGTCTGATGTGATAGCCGCCGGTCAATTCATATTTAAAATAGAGGAGAAATTTTGCTTCCTCGCTCCCCCTGGCTATGCTTCAAGCTCCGAAGCCAGGCGAGGGTGCAGGCAGCCATGTTGGTGGTGGCCGTCTTGGAAGCAGCCGTGCGGCCATATTGGGGGTGGCGTCGTTTGGGGGTGGCAGGGATGTGGGAGCCGTCCAGCGCACTGCACTGGCTCTGGGCCCTGGCCCAGGGGAGACGTAGGGACCCACCCGTTCGTGTCACGCCTCCAGGCTGTTCACCAGCATCTCATGTGGAGGGCTGCATCGTCCAGTGTCACACACTCACCCCAGCCCGGGAGAAACAGACTCCCACCCTGGGCGAGTGCCACGTCCACACCGCCACGCTTCTCCTCCCTCCCACTGGCGTTGGCGGTGGGGCCCTGGCCCCAGCATCAGTGTGTGGGGAAGTGCCAGATCCCCCAGCAGCTGCTCTTCCTGGCATCTGGGTGCTGAGCTGCTCTGAGCCTGTGGTCTCATCCCCATGCCAGGGCGATGCGGTGCGGTGCGGGGCCCCTGTTCACAGCCGTGCAGTCCTCAGGTACAAGTGGGCACTGCCTGGGTGGTGCACATCAGCTCTAGGACTTTGCCAAAAGAATCATGTCGAAAAGAAGACATGACACTGCTGGCGGCGGTGACCCCCACATTCTGGGACTCTGGGGAGCATCCCTGGCAGGTAGACCCTGATGAGACTTCTGCTGAAAGCAGAGTGTGTGTGCGCGTGTGCATATGTGTGTATATGTGCATGTGTGTGTGCATGTGTGTGTGCATATGTGTGCATTTTTATGTGTCGGTGTGTGCATTTGTGTGTGTCGGTGTGTGCATTCATCTTTGTGCATTTGTGGGTATGTGTGTCTATGCGTATATGTGTGTCCGTGTGTAGGTGTGTGCGTGTGTTTGTATATATGCGTATGCATATGTGTGTGCATTTTTGTGTGTATGTGTGTGCATTTATGTGTGTGCTTTTGTGGGTATGTGTGTCTGTGTATATATGGAGCAATAGCACAGCGGCAGGTCATTTGCCTTGTGGGCAGCCAGCCTGGCCGAGCCGAGTTCGATTCCTCTGCCCCTCTGGGAGAGTCCGGCAAGCTACTGAGAGTATCTCTCCTGCACGGCAAAGCCTGGCAAGCTCCCCGTGACGTATTCAGTATGCCAAACATAGTAACAACAAGTCTCACGATGGAGAAGTTGCTGGTGCCCGCTCGAGCAAATCGGTGATCAATGGGAGGACAGTGTTTGTGTTTGACAGACAGCGTATATGTATATATGAGTGTGTGCATGTGTGTGTGTGTTTATGCGTGTGTGCATGTGTGCGCCCCACATCCTAGAGATTCCAGGGTCCCGACTGCATGTGTGCAGTCATGAGCCCATCCTGCTGACGTCACCGCTCTCATTCAGTGCTCCCAGGGAGATGGCCCTTGGCGAGGAGGCGTGTCTGTCTGTGCGTCCATGGGCACGCGCACGTGTCAGAGTTCTGTGCTGGGCAGCAGTGGCCCAGGAGGGTCATGGTTTGAAAGCGGCAGAGCTGAGAGAGCTCCCGGGTGGCCCCCCCAGCCCAGCAGGCACCTCTGTGTTTTCCCGGGAGTGCCCCCGGCCTGCAGTGTGAAGGCAGAGAGTGCCCGCCGGGGGCAGCCTGCAGGAGCCGCCACCCGCCGGGAGCCGGTGCCCGAGGAACACAGCGGCTGGACACTCCCATGTGTGGGTGCTGCATCTAGTACGTGGCCCCTCTCTCTACTCAGGTTTTCCGTGCCCTGATCTTGGGGCCTGACTCAAAACCAGTGCTCAGGGCCTCCTCCTGGCTCTGCACTCAGGAGCTACTCCTGGCAGTGCTCGGGGGAACATCTGGGATGCCGGGGATCAAGCCCGGGTCGCCCTCCCCGCTGTCCTGTAGTCTCCAGCCCCTCACAGCCCCTTCTTCCTCCTCCTGCTCCTCCCTCATCCGAGTTCCCATCGGCCC